ATGTGTATATATTTAGTGCACTAGCATTTGAATAGCCCCAAGGCTAGCAGACATGAACTAGAAGCCATATTTTGTGGTCTGGTGGTTATAAATATGTCATACAAGATGAATCAAAAGATTATGGTGACATTGTGGTCCATTTACCTGGAAAAGATGGACAAATTTCTCAGCTTTTAGGTGTACATATCACTGGTCTCAAAGCTAACAGACATTGGACTTAATTTCACTGAACAAAGCATATTTTTTCAACCTTTTGTAATACATAGCATGCTAATAGACACGGATAAAGTTAGAGTTTGATTTGATGGGGTCTCTAGCACGCAGCGTAAGAAAGCGGGTTTAATCTGAGGAGCTTCCAGTTTTCTAACTCTGCTGTTCTCAGTATGATGGCTGCAGGAGAAATGAGGTGTTCTGGGCTGTAAACATGCACCAGTGACCTGTGTCTGTCTGTGCTGGTCAGTGTTTGTGTGTGTTCTCAGATGCCCTTCATAACATTGCCCTGTAGGACCAGTACGCTCTGAAGTTTGCTGCACCGCATCACCGCTCTGCTGAACACAGATGGAAAGTCACACAAACAGAACATGAAAGAAAATAGACTGTCCAGTGGTGTGCCACTCCATATTTGACCTCTCCTGCCTTATCAACATCTCTCCAGTTTAAAAAATGGAAAAAATGGTTCAGTCTTTGGAATGAACTTTATATTTGTAACTGTATTTTTGGGATGGGCGATACAGTTTCTTTTCAATCTGATACAGTCATTTAACATTAAATACCCTTCTTAACATTACAAAGTCCTAAACTGTTCATTTCAGATTTCAATTCAAATCAAAACCTAAGCAATTTTGATAAATTCGACTCTTAATTTAAATTAAATTAACGTTATTTTGTGTAAACTCATTTGTCATGACCTCGGTCAAGTACTTATCTGTCTGTCTGATTTTGAAGCTTATGAGACACAGTTTTCATATTAAATAATGAAATGTGGTCATCAAGATCAAAGCCTTTCTGTATTTTAAAACACCACAGAGAGCTCATGTGTTCATGTGAAAAAAAAGCATGTTTTTACATATTAGGAACAGAATTTCCACTTCGCATTATGAAAAACCTCACAGATTAAAAAAAATGGTGAAAACTGGCATAGCGCTATTAATCTCAGAACAATGGCTAAACACACTTACATTTCTCTCTCTTATCTGCAATAGTATGGGGGATGTGAGAGTGTGAATGTGTTCATCAGATAAGTAGATATCTTTTTTTTTTAAATGGATAATGGAAACTGTGCAGTTTTTGAGTCTGATAAGACGGACATATATTATAGACGGACATATAATATGCTGTAAAAATGGAAAATTCATATTTGAAGATTCTTGTCTCAAAGACCATGTCAGCAACATAAACTGGAGGTCAAAACAGTGCCTCCCTGGCTCTTTTGTCCACTTTCCAACTACTTCTGTATTGATTTCTTCGAGGGGAGGGTCTATGGGTGGGTAAATGCATGGCATTTTCAGATCTTTTGCTTTAATGGATGAAATAAGATCATGGAAATTACATTTAAACGTGACCAGAGATTTTCCAAAATTTTAATTCCTTCTGGTTTACGCGCTTCCCATACTGTTAACGCAATAGTTCAGCAGGCAAAGAATACGCGCTTTATTTTTTTGGTGGACCACATGAATGTGTTTGAACGATCCAGTCAAATGTGTTTTCGAGTACCTCTGGAAGTGGTCAAAAGTGGACAAGCTCAAAACGTTTTAGACCCCGTTTACACCTGTATTTAGCATCGTCCACTTGTGATCTGATCGAACTAAACGCATCTTAATACCAGGTGTAAACCAAGCCTAGTTTACCTGGCCAGTGTTTGATTTGATTTATGCTTGGGTTAGTCTAGTGACACTCACACAGAGAACATATACCTTTAGACAGTGCAGCTAAGTGGTTAGAGCAAGTAAAATAATACACAGAGCAGTGCAAATGAAGCTAAAGGCAGCATATTTCCCTGAAGTTCACTTCCTGTGTTTGTTTTGATGGTTTAATCACTTGTCCGACATCCCATTGAGCTTGCATCTAATTTAGACATAGGCTGCGTGTTTAGATCACAACAGCTGCCGAATTTATACAGGCACACTTTCTACCCACACCTTCAAAGGGCTCATCCGTCAAGGGAGAGTTTTTAAAAGATGTATTTTTACTAAGTGGGTCAGAAGAATCCTGCCCCAAAGGCCATGGTGAGACATTTGCTTATACAGGTAACACAAACAGATGCCACTGCACTAAAACCAGCTGAGCAGACTCTCTACGTGTTGTTTTGCCATTGAAGAACACAGTTTAGCACATTCATTCATAATGCAATATTAAACAAAGCAAAGACAAGAAAAGTCAAAGAGACAAACAAGATAAAGTGTGCTAAGAACAAGAGATAATTACTGCCAAAACAGCAGCAAAACTACAGATGTGTCCTACTTAATAACAAAAAGGAGCATGCTTAAGCATGAAGTGGGCCTGGAGGGAGGCAGAGTTGTAGATAATTGTCAACTACATGCATTATGGGTTGTGGATTGCAGTTTTGTACTGTGTTTTTGATCAAAACATGTTTTTTACTTTTCTGCAGATGAAAGATTGAACTTTTAGATCAACAGCACTTGTGTGGGAGTGGTAGAGCAGTGGTTTTAGGACAAGATTCTAGGTTTCTAGCTGGTCAAAGTTGGTTTAGATGGTTGATCAGCTTAACTATCAGGTAGTGGGGTCCAGGCTAAAGTAGTAGACCTTTGCAGGGTCAACGGTACTGCTTGAAAAACCCAGTCAAAGTTGGTCAAGCTTATGTATAGTAAAAGGTAACTGGTTTGTTAAAAAGGAAAGTCTGCACCTCCTCGTTTGACCACGGCGTATTCTCGAGTTGCCATAATAATAGTAGTTAGGTTAGTAACTATCTCTGGCGAAACTAATTAAAAATAGTGGCGTTATTCTGGATACTCCATATGGTGCGTGCAATGATGACTCAGTGAATGGTGACAATTCTCTCTGACCAATCAGCAATCGGCACTGTTTTCACGTGACATTTTGGTATCGCCTTGGCTTGCTCAGAACCTCGCCGGAGGTGGTACAAAAAAAAAGTACCCGAAAGCAGGAACAGGTACAACTTTTAAACCGTGGAAAACCAAACAAAGGCGAGCCAAGCCAAGTCGAGTGGAGCTGGTACTGTGAAGTGGAAAAGCACCATAAGGGTCCTTATGGAAAAACCAGGTCAGACCAGCTTAAGTGTCAGATAGTTTATTGTTTGTTCGTTCATTTTGGTTGTGAAGCTCATAACTGCTTGTCCAGGATGGTCAATCAACTAGCTTAGGTATATTACTAGACCTAGTCCTGCAGGAAATCCCACTCATACTAGCTAAAGGTGGTCAAGCTGTTTTATGGAACATTGTAGCTGGCTTGTTGGTGATCGAGAATCTCTTACCACCTTGACCAAGATAGTCTACCAACTGGATGAGGTACTACACCATCTTGGTCAAGGTCAGAAGTCCTAATGGTACAGCCAGATCAGACCAGCTTAAGGTGGTAGACACTGTATTGCTGGTCCATGGTGGTTGAGATATTTATAATTGGTTCCAATTGCTACCAACTGGATGCTCAAGGCATCAGTTAAAAAAAACAGGATTCTTTATACACTCAGATGGCTCGTTTGTTTTGGTCCACAGTGGTGGAGAAGCTCTTGTTGACTTGACTAGAACGGACTAAACAACCTTTGGTAGTCTATTTTGGTCGAGGGTTTGGGCGGAAGAACCAGGTCACCAGTTTAAGGTGTTCAAGCTGTTTTATGGAATTTGATAGCTTGTTTGTTGGTGGTCAAGAATCTTAAAATGGACCAAGATCATCTACCAATGCAACCAGGTCCCTAAGTCCAGCTGATCAACTACCTAAGCCAGCATTGATGGGCTAGAAACCAAATGCAATGTTACAAAAACCTTCTACAGGATTACGGTTTTAGCTACATGCACCATTTTCTCCTGGCAAACTCTCAAACTCTACGTGTAGCATCAGTGGCTCTTCTGATGTGGAAAAGAACTATAACCAGCCCAAAAATTGATAAAATGTAGACCTATAGAGATAAAATCAACACCAATCTCTTGGTGGCATCTCTTAGTGAGAGGTCTTCCTCAGTCTGTATGGAAATAGCTAATGGGCTGGTGAGAGGACAAATACAGCCATCTGCTCAAAAATCTGCCCAGTAAGAGCAAAAGCATCATTCTTTTTTCTTCGATATGGTGCTTTTGTCCTCCCACATTTTCCCTCGTTAGAGGCCCAGAGTGCAGTGTCACATTTGTCTGACAGACAGAAACATGTTGCACTTTACCGGTACATCACTCTATAAAAAGTGGCCTCTAGGGAAGGAAGCAGCAGCAGCAGATTGGCTGGCTTTATGTCTGCTTGCTTAGATGTTTTATGCCCTGCCTTTGAATGGAAGTACAAATTAAATAAATAGTTTAAATCCTTCCTGTTAAATCAGGGGAATTACTAAGAACGGATGGCTCCTGCTGATAATGCTGTTGATTTGCCCACATGGATTGTGTTTTTAGCACCTTATTCACTAAAGGAATCATGCAAATCAGGTAGAAATGCAACATACCCTCAAAATCAGTGCTAAACTGTTGTAAGTAATGCAGTCTTTCCAGCATTGGAAACATTGCCAGAATTTGATAATGACAATTTAACAACTATGGAAAAGACCGTAAATAACACAGAACTGAAAAGGAAACATTACCACAAGAATGCAATGAGATGCTCTTGAGGGTGAACTCACCTCTAGTTCTGGATCCAAAAACTTCTCCAAAAGTGAATGCCGGTGGTATTTCATGTGAGAAGTAGCCCTCCATAATTCACAGCAAACCCCTTCAGATTTGGGCCATCAATTCCTGAATTCTCATATCAAATAACAATGTATACTTATTAAAGCAAATATCATTCACTCGAAACAGTTTATAAGGAGCTGAAAAAATGTACAATTGCTGAGTGAAATTAATTTATCTTGAGTGTAATTCCAGTCACATATTCACAGTGCATTTAAAAAAATAAAATCAACACTTGCCAAGAATGCAAGCGTTGGACTCATTTGGCGTCAGCTGGCCATTGACAAATCCTTTAAATAATGAAGTGTGTCCACAGCTCCATGCAGTTTAAAGTCAGTGACATTAGCTGATATACATCAGAGTTATATCACAGGATAGAACCTATAGAGGACATTAAAGCAAAGGCAGATGTTTGATGAATAATGTACTATACAACATTATGCATTCAACTTCACAGGGGTCTTATGCTAATAACATCATTAAATCCAATTAAAAGCCCATTTAGAATAGCTCCATTATTAACACGAACGCACTGCGGCGGATACTTGAATTTAGGGCATAAACTCAAGCATCACACACAAATGATGTACATATGCCTATTCCAAATAATCGTACAGACTATTACCACAGCAATTGACCTAGGTAACAAATGTGTATTAAAGTGACAACTAATGTAATGGATTCAAAATTAAAATTGTCCAGTTCTATCTGATGATCCTCCCAGGCCTTGTTCAGAGCCAATGGACTTGAAAAAGAGAAATGAAAAGGAAAGCTTGAATTTGTCCCTGTCAGTCACATTTCATCAAGTCTCATTTACTAAGCAGAGTTTGTGGCAGAGCGGATGTGGCCAGCACTCCCCCCAGCTGAGGCTGAGACCCTTGAGTCGGGACAGGATGGGTTTGGGGGAGTGGCAACATGACTCCAGCTCTCTCTTTCTCAATCTTTTCCTCTTTTTCCATCAGCTCTTGTTTTTCAATTTTGTCTAGAAGCAATTTAACGCTCTTGTAAAAAACAACACGGGGGTCAACTTCGGGGAGGGCGGGACAGTCACAGCGTGCACGGAGCTCCAGAGCCTATAACAACACAGAATGACACAGATTAATACAGATGGATATGAGCTTTGACCTACAAACCTACCATCTCCTCATCTCCACCAAGGGAACGGGATGGACGGACAGTGTAGTGATAAGAAATATGGATGGATGGGAAAGAGTTTTAAACATATCTCAATGGATGGGTGAATGGGAAAGAGCTTTAAACATGGATGGATGGATGGATGGATGGGAAAGAGCTTTAAACATGGATGGATTGATGGATGGGAACGAGTTTTAAGGATGGATGGGAAAGAGCTTTAAGGATGGATGGATGGATGGGAACGAGCTTTAAGGATGGACGGATGGATGGATGTGAAATCTAGATGGATTGATTCGAAAAGTTATTAAAAAATAGATAGATGGATGGATGGGAAAGAGCTTTAAGGATGGATGGGAACGAGTTATAAGGATTGATGGATGGGAACGAGTTTTAAGGATGGATGGGAAAGAGCTTTAAGGATGGATGGATGGATGGATGGGAAAGAGCTTTAAGGATGGGTGGATGGATGGATGGGAAAGAGTTTTAAGGATGGATGGATGTGAAATCTAGATGGATTGATTGGAAAGGTTACTAAAAAATAGATGGATGGGAAAGAGTTTAAGGATGGATGGATGGATGGGATTGAGTTTTAATGATGGATGGATGGATGGGAAAGAGCTTTAAGGATGGATGGATGGATGGATGGAGGATGGGAAAGAGCTTTAAGGATGGATGGATGGATGGATGGATGGGAAAGAGCTTTAAGGATGGATGGATGGATGGATGGATGGGAAAGAGCTTTAAGCATGGATGGATGGATAGATGTGAAATCTAGATGGATTGATTAGAAAAGTTATTAAAAATAGATGGATGGATGGATGGATTGAAATAGTGATTTATTTATTATTATTATAATTATTTGAAGAAATGGATCGATGGAATGATGGAAATATTGATATAAAATCCGGATGGATGGTTTGACGTAGTTATTGGATGGATGGATGAACATTGACGAAGATCTCCTACATTAAAGACATCCACATACGTTTACAAAGACTGATTTGTTTTCTGTCTGGTGACCCCTGACCTCTATTAGGGGTGATGAAGCAACAGCTCTCATAACACTAGATCAATAATGCCCCTTAAAACATAAACAACCAGAGCACCAGCACAAAGGACACTTAACATAAATAATGTTCTAGTTAAATTATTATTCAATTTCCGAACCATCTGCCCAAGGAAGAACATATCAAACTGAACTGCTAAATACACACTCAATCCAGAAAGACAGGGAGTTTTAAGCAACACTGCAATGTTTGAGAACCAGGCCATTAGGGAAACTACAAAACAAATGACACTCGATGAAAGAATGGCTGGAATAAACTTGAAAACAATTACCCAAGAGGGTCACATCAGTAGCATACTTACGACCAAAGTGACACAGAACAATTTAAGTTTTAAAAAGCAGATGCATTCTTTAAAAGTAACAAGTACTGACTATTTTACAGATTTTTAAAAAAAGTAAAAGAATTCTGTTAATGTACATCTAGTTTACTTGATGCTTAGTCACTATAGCCTGGTTAAAACCAGACCATTCTCAGTTGTAACTTATGGTCTGGGAAAGCGTCATAGACAAATTATTTCCAGAGGGGCGTCACCAACGGACTTCGCGGATAGACCTAAAACCAATCAGAGCGATGAAGGAGATGAAGTTTGCAGAGAGGCGGCCGGCGGAGAAACATCTCCGAGTGTTGTTCTTTGCTCGGTTTTTAACAAAAAGGAAACGTTCAAATCACTTAAAACAGACACGATAGCTGATTCGAACAAGTGATGTTCGACTGCGGCATCCATCTTTGTAATGTAGGCTACAAAATTTGCTTCAAAATCCCAGCGCTGTCGTAATCGTGTAAAGCCCGCCTCAACGTTTCTGATTGGTGCCGCGATTTCGGCGGATTGGAAATGGGCTTGAATGAGCTCTTTGCCAGACTAACTTTCAGAGCAAATCTAAATTTGCCAGAAGTTGTCTGATTTTTCCCAGGCTACTAAGTCACTAAACCATTTTCAGAATATTTTTAGAAATTATTATATTTTTTTCTATTTCTATCTTTGTTCGTAAAGGAATTTAGCTCCAAAAACAATGCCAGTAAAGGATGAAACCAGGTTGAATAAATTATAAATATAAATGTGTAAATATATTTGAAATATGTATGATAAACATATGCAAATAATTTATATACATTATATAAAAATATAACGTGTAACATGCACACATACATACTTTTATTTTAATGAATTTTATTCAAAACCAACTGAACAAAAATCCAATTTTAAGTCTGTCATCTTTCTCTCTGATGTTTTACACTGATGTGAAAGTGTTTAAGCAATATACACGTCAACCTGCCATTGGAAATTTGAACTTCTTTGACAAGTCAGACAAGTTACTCTCAAACAGTCACTCTTATAAAGGTGACATCTTCAAAATTCACTTGTAACAGGCACCAGAAGGCAGACTGTCTCTTTCTCACACACACACACGGTAATTCTCATTAGCGAGAACACGGAGGACGACTCTCCATTGGCTCAGGTTAAAGAGGGTGAGAACAGAGAGAGATGGAGGGCGTTTTGAAATAACTTCCCGAAGGAGTAATAGCTTCCACTCAACAACAGAAACACACACACATTACAGTTGATGGACAATTAGTGTCCTGGCCATCTGTTGCTTATGTGTTTGGAGTGTGTGAGTATGCAGGCAGAACTGTTAAAGAGTTCAAGCTCAGGTCAAGTAAGGCCCCTGCATGCCACTAAAATTCACACATTGACGCGCAACCTTCTGCCGAAGCTCCTGTAGATGACTGTCCATGCTGTTCTACAGTATACAGTTTAGTCGATGAAAAGTATGTTAACCCGAGCTCTTTGTTTAAAGAAAGTGGTTAGGGGTTGGGATCATCCATTTTGCCCCTGCTGGTGGATGCTGTAACTACGCCATCTGCCTTTCTCTGTTGACGGTCGTAGCTGTGAATTGTGTGAGGGGATGTTTTTGCAAGCAACATATTGCAATATGCAAATATTTCATCCTTTTATAGTAGGTGTTTCAATGCCAGATTTTTTTTATGTTTATTTTTTTATTTTTTTAAGACTCTTAAAAGTGTGAAAATGATTTATAATGATTTATATTTTTCCCATCTGCTGCCTAACATCAGATACTTAACATAGCCTACACAACAGAGGAACACATAATCCACATTTTTTTTTAAGACCAACAGATATCACACAGGTTACTTAAAAAAAAAAATGTAGATATTTAATATGCATTTGTAATTGTAATTTGTAGGGCTGGCTAAAAAAATATATATATATTGATTGCTCGATTTTAATCGATTAGATTTTTTACGAACCAATATCGATTCTTAAATGCCCCCTGAATTCAAAATGTAAATTGGTTTCTTGAACACGACAATGAGTTCACTGTACTAAAATGGGCCACACAGTCACCAGATCTCATAGAGCATCTTTGAGATGTGGTGGAACAGGAGCTACCCTGGATGCGCATCCCACAAATCTCCATCAACTCCAAGATGCTATTCTATCAATATGGGCCAACATTTCTAAAGAATGCTTTCAGGACCTTGTTGAATCAACGCCACGTAGAATTAAGGCAGTTTTGAAGGCGAAAGGTGGTCAAACACAGTATTAGTACGGTGTTCCTAATAATCCTTTAGGTGAGTGTATATATTAACCCATAGCATATCTATACAGATTGATCTGGGGAAGATGGAGACTCTCGGAGGAACTCTGAAAGTGCGCTGTAAACGGCAAGCTCATTGGCTGCAGATGCGACGTGAACCAATCAGCTTCTGCCAAGTAGTAAACGCTGTGAATATCATCAGCCTGCGCCATCTAGAGTTTAATGACAGAACTTGGCATATATTAGGCATATATTTTTTGAGAGGAAATTGCAGTTGTTCAGAATCAAGCATAAGATCTTGATGGAGTTCAATTCACGCTCCAACAAATCACTGTCATGCATTGCACTATATATCTTGATGTACCGCATGAATTATTTAGCTTCAATCACTTATGAAGGCTCTCTTCTGTGGCTGCTGGTACTGATCTAAGGATTCAATCATATGAATGTTGAGTTTCATGGATCCTCCAGGCCTTTGTGTTTGGTTTTCTCCTTCAGCAGTAGAGCATTTATTTGTTCATTTCCACAATGCACATGTGTAGAAGGTGGAGTTTGCTCCAGAGCAGAGGGGTCTCCAGACGTCTCGTTAGCTATGATGGAGTCTGGATTTCAGACTGCGAGCCCTACGGTGCGCGTTTCTGATGGGCACTCTTTAAATCAAGAAAACGGTGTATCCAGGTCAGACATATTCCTTAAGTTAAATACAGAAAACAGCTCTCCGCTTGTGCATTAGTAGTATTGGAAACACCAGTCATACAGATGAATGATCTCATCACATAACTAAACAATAGCATTTCTTAGACCTTGCTTCTATTAAAGCTCAAGATGGCTCTTTGGATCATCTCAAATCAGGATGGAGAATATAATCATCAGGTTATACACAAATCTGAGGAGTTCATGCAGCTCTGTACATAACACTTAAAAACACAATATGTAAGATTTTTGGATTAAATTATTCCAAAAACACTAAAACAATATTATATATTTTGTTGACTTATTGGAAGCGTTTGGGATAATGCAAGTACACATTTAAATCCACAGAAATCAGTAATTTAACCAGTGTCATTGTGTCGTCATATTCGGGTTACCCTCGATTTCCGGTTTTACTTCCGTAGAAACCATGTAAACACCAAAGACCCTTCAATATATTATGTGTTTTATTAGACAGGTGAGCAACTGTTTGGATACTTTTATCTACAGAAAGCGAATCATTGTTATAGCTCAATATTGTTAGATTGAAGTCTTTGTTTCCTTGATTTACCGCGAGTAACATCATTTGGTTATTTGGTGTCCTTTTTTTGGAAAGAAACCTAAATTTACTTGCGGAAAACACCGTTTTGTGAGAATCATCCTTAAATCTGATGGTTTACTTTTCTGGATATAGCAAATGACAAAATGAATGTTATGAAGATAAACGGTGTATACTTAATTTAACGATAAGTGTGTTATTGATTGTAAAAGTAAGCATAACAATTTTAATCTATTCAAAGCCCTATTATTTACATATTAAATTTTCTGATAAATACACTGACAATTGTTTTTTCCTTTTATGTAGGACTTTAACTGCTACTTCTAGTCCTCCACAGTCCATATGTTTGCCACTTTTTTTTTGAGAAAACTGGAAATTACGGGGAAGGACAGGGAAATGGGATTGAGAATGCAACTGGGAAATAATGCATGGGTGCCAAAGCTTAGCATGATTGAGAATAATTATGCTAGGCCATGGCTTTAACGGTTCTTTATTTTTAGATCAATTCAAATACCACCATACTGATGTACATGTTTAGCATTTGTATGGAAAGGTTTCACTCATAAACCTGTATACTGATGTCTAATGATGCATGTATTTGCTTGTGTGTGCTTTACCTCAGGAACGAGGCGGTCCAGCTGTCTGACGCGGTTTTGGTGGGAAGGGTGTGTGGACAGCCATTCGGGGATGGTTGGTTGGCCACTCAACTGATCATAGATCTCCATCTGCTGCCAAAACACTGTGGCCGCCCTCACATCAGCACACGCCTGTCAGAAACACACACAAATCTCAAATACACATAAAGATCTGGCATGTTAAAGCCCTGCCATCATCAAAGGAAGCACACAGGGAGATGACACGTCACGCACACGACCCGGCGGGCGCTCCACGCTCTGGACAACGTCATTAGCTGGAGCTAAAGCCGAGAGCGGGCTGGATGAATCATGACTGAGTCCAGCTAGCCATGCAACGTGCCTGTGTCCACCACCGAGCCGGCAGCGGCAGGCCGGATCTGGGCCCATTTACGAGCAGCAGGCGGCCCGTTATTACTACTATAAGAGATGGAAGGGAATTGACTGTTTCTCCATAATGATGCCAAGCATGGGATCAGGAGACATGCTGACAGGAAGAGCACTACACCGTGAATCAGACCATTGCCACATGCAGTGAAACGCTTCCATGAAGCAGTTTTTAAAGTAACAGTGCCACCTAGAGGTCATGTAGGATACTACGGCTATAAACGACTGATATACAGTAGGTTCCCCTGAGTTGTGTCTCAGGGATTTCATTTATCCAGTTTTCTAGTCATCACACATTAATAGTTAAACAGCTTTTATTCAGAGTGGCGTAGAGTTGAAGTGTTTAATTCAGTGTTCCTCAAACTCGGTCCCGGAGGGCCACTGTCCTGAGTTTGAGGAACCCCGAGTTTGAGGAACCCTGGTCTAATTCCTAAGAATGACTTCAAAAGTGACTTTATTTGCAATTTTACATCTGGTATTAAGAGACGACGCAAAAACCTACAGAAAGCAGCAGCTTTTGTTTTTGCTCTGACAGACGCAAGACCAAGTGTTAGAAATCAGGAATGGTGAGAGAACATTGTGCTTGGTACAGTACGTTATTTGACTTCAAACCAAACTTAAGTCCTCAGCCGACAAAGCTTAACCCGTGTCTGGCTGGCGCGCTTCCCATAATGTTTACGCATTAGGTCAGGTGGTCTTTTGTGGCCATTCGAATACATTCGACCACATGAAAGCTACACTCTGGTCAAAAGTGTAATCCTGTGCTTTCCAGTCTGTGACAGTTAAGCTAGAAAAATAAAGGATAAAGACGTCTAAAAGTTGTGGCCGGTCGTAAGTTTGTTTGTAAATGTACATTTTTGATCAATGTTTTTCTAGCTAGAAATTACAATTGTAGTCCTTAAATATTTACTTAGTTTCCACTAAAGCTTGCTCTATTTTAGTGTAGTTTATTAAACTGCAACACTGCCTCAGAAGTCTGTCCGGAATCAGTTTCGTGAGGAACCTTCGTGTGCAAACGCTGCCTGGAAAGTCAATGCCTGATAGGGCAGCGAGGCCAAGTCACTGCCTTCGTTTTCAAATGCAGTCCCCGTTTACACCCTCTTGTGATTGGATTGACGAAAACGCTAATAAGTAAAAAACATATATAACAAAGAATCTTACAGATCATTTAACATTTTTTTTTACATTTGTCAGGCGCCAATGCAGCTTAGGACTGTTTCACACCACACACACAGTTTTTGAATCAATCAGATTTACAGTCATGGTCAAAATTGATGGCACCCCTGGTAAATATGATCACCCTGTTTCTAGTCACCCTGGTGTGCTTAAAAGTTTAAATATTAATGGGAATGTACTTCACAAACATTTTTTATTCTAGGGGTGCCAACAATTATGGTCAGCGTGTTTTGGAGAAAAACATGTATTTCATAAAGTGATTTACACCCACTTTCAATTCTTTTACTTCAATGAAAGGTTAGATTTTTGTGATTTTTTTTTTTAATGAAAGGTCAAAAGGATAAACAATGCAGATTTATTTTTTACAGCCAGTTTTGATCATATTTACCAGGGGTGCCATCAATTTTGACCAGGACTGTAATCACCATGCAATCAAATTTACGAGAGGAGGAAAATCTTTTCTTTTTTATTCTTTAAATGTCAGTTAATGGACATGCTCTACATTAAACTATACCTAATGCCAAAGCATAGATATAACAGTAACAGTAAAAATAGTTTTCAGAAATTGAATTAGAGCTAAAATAAGTTTATTAGATGGAAAACCTAAACTTAATTAAAGAATACATTTAAAGTACTGAAGTTACTAAAACTGAAATAAAAATTCAAGCTATACAGAAAACAAAAACTAAACAAATTTAAATAATTTTTTTTTAAACAAACTAAAATTTGAAAATGCTAATTCAAAATATTTATAAATACTATAAAGTATAAAAAGATGACTAAAATAACGCTGAGCTATAAACTGCATGAATCATCTTGATTTAGTCTGATTTACTGAACAGAAAGTGTTGTCTGTGTCAATTCAAGGAATTTTGGACATTTTTTTTCCCAAACAAATTCAGTTACAAGGTGTAAAAATAGGCGAAATTCACCGGAAACACCGAAAGTCTACTTGCAGCTGCACTTCTGCAACAATCTGAAACCTGAATAAACATATAAGCTGCTTACCCTGTGAAACAGAACTTATAGTGCATTTTAGGAGGAGATTTTATCAGTATGCGTTTCCTTGGAATTGAACCAAAAGCTTGGTGTTGCTACAAGAAGACTGTCCAGAATCTGATAATATCTCCAGTACCTTGGCAGCCAGCTGTAGGCCAACCTGGTCCGCCTCTGCCTCCAGCTTACGACTGAAGGGCCGGTCAAATAAGAACTACAACACAGACAGAGGAAATGAGAGAGAACGTGCAGTTAAATGAGCTATTCTGACAGCGCACACACAAGTTATATTGGGTAAACAGAGGAAGATGGACAGAATAAAGTGAACCATATTTGGAGAACAAAATGACTAGGAGATAAAAAGCCCACCCATTAAAATGTAATTTATTTTAAATATAATAGGCAAAGAAGATGAAAAACAAGGGGAAAAAAAAGGATGAAAATTCTCACATAAAAAGAGGAGTAGGCGAGTACATGGTATTTTAGAAGAAAAACACCATTAAAAAAACTGAAGTACAATTAAATTGAAAGTGGGCCTTTGTTGTATGCCGCAAAGTGATTCAGAAAATGCTAATTCAATATCCATTTAGAAGACAAATAAATGTAGCTGAATTTAGTCTTTAGAAACCCAAATAAGATCTCCTCTGAGATACTGTTATTGTTTTATAATGGTGTTGAGAGAGTACTTGAGAAGGTTACTTTGAGCTCGAGTGGAGGAGTATAATTCTTGTTTAAAGGGTCTTTTAGGGATTTTAGAATCAATATTTAAGGAGAGTTTGCATTGTTAATGGACAAACCCAACATAAACCCAAGTCCCATCAATGTCTTAAAGGGATAGTTCACGGAGAGTTCACCTTAAAATTCATCATTTAAGTAGGTCAATAAAGGTATTGAACTTGAACTAAAATTCATAATTTACTCAACCTCATGTTGTTCCAAACGTGTATGAATTTCTTTCGTCTGTTGAACACAAAAGAAGATATTTTGAAGAATGTTCATAATCATAACCAAACAGTTGTGGGGCACCAACTGTTTTTTTTATTCCAACTATGGAAGTCAATGAGGACCAAAAACTGTTCAGTTACCCATATTCTTCAAAAAAATCTTCTTTTGTGTTCAACAGAGGGGAAAAAATGTGTTTTATTTCAAACAAACTGGCAAAATGAAGTGTATTGATTAGCTGTGAACATCTCTGGTTCAAGACCAGCTTAACTTCAGTGGAATGAAGGCAGATAAGGAATCGATTGAAAAAGGGTAAGCGTAGCGTCACCTGCATTAGTTTGCCCTGAATCCACTGGCCCAGAAGAGCTAAACTGTCCCGAGGACATATGGCCCAGATCGCCGTTAGCAGGACGATAGACAGCAGGTCCACCACGTGAGACAAACTGGCCTGTTCTGCCTGAGAAAGAGAAAGAAATTCATTACAGGCTTTTCTGTCTTTGTTGATTTCGTCGTTTATCTGCTATGCTAATTTGTTTGTATTTTGGTGTTAAGAACCATTTTTACTCTTGCTTAGCAGCCCATTCTCTGACAGCATGCCCAATTAGAAACAATGTAGAAAAACAAAGAAAAGGAAACAAGCAATTTAACGACGAGAGACATAATAAATCACACTGAATTGCAATTACAATACCCATTCTACTGAAAGAAGGGCAACAGATATGCCAAAACATGTCTGGCCAGCTACACGCTGCAAAGCAGATTTGTTATGTAATTGTGTCATCTGCACGAGCATGAAGTCGTATACCTTTTTTAAAAAAATTTTATTGTATTTTTTTGATTACAAACAGAAGAATATATATATATATATATATATACACACACATAAATGTCAATTTCTGTATTTAAAATCAGAACAAAAAAGAACCCAAAAACAAACAATAGCAAACAGAAAAAAACTAAACAAAAATGGGGTAAGTCGTATACATTTTACATATACATATACATCGGCGCGTATGGTTGGGTTACGGAGAGTTTGTGAGTTATAACGGAAATCATTATGAACATCAGCTATGCTAATTATTTCCCATCTGCCTTTCTGCTGTTATGTTAAAAATGGCGTTCGTCAGGTCCAGTTTTGTGTCCAGCCTCTCACGGGGATTTCGGATGCCCCAACGCCTGTGATGAGACGACTCAACGCCTGTGATGAGACGACTCAACGCCTGTGATGAGACGACTCAACGCCTCCGATATGTTATGGCGCCGTTTGATTCATAAACAATATTTATATTTAATATTTATATTTAAACAATATGAATGTAAGCCAGAGGAGAACTGGCCCCCGACTGAGCCTGGGTTCTCCCAAGGTTTTTTCTCCATCCAATCTGATGGAGTTTGGTTCCTTGCCACTGTCGCCTTGCTTTTGGCTTGCTTTGAGCTTGCTCAGTTGGGGTTATTTAGTGTTTAGCAATGTTGTTGATCTGTGTTGTGCTACTTTCATGTTATCACTGTGAAGCTGCTTTGATACAATCTGTATTGTGAAAAGCGCTATATAAATAAATGTGACTTGACTTGACTTGACATTTTTAACGTATTAATATAGCTTACTTGCATTTAAATGTATGGTTTTCACTTTTTAATCCTTAAAGTAACCCACATGTATGTGTGTTTTCCCCCCATTATAATTCTTTTAAACATAACAGGTTTATTTTTATTAAATGTCTATGCTGCTCTTTTAGATACAACTTTTAATGACTACGAAACTTAAATCTCGGTTTGGTCCTCAAAAATATGAGATATTTTTAAAAAATTTTGGAGCCGCTTTACGGTCACTGTTCTACTTCTAAGTGGAAAATAGAAGCTTGGACAATTTGCTAAACATCGTTGGTGTTCCCCATACACAACCATTAATAAGTTTGCAGTCAGTAAGATTTTTTCAAATGTTTTTGAAAGTCTCTTAAGTTCACCAAGATTGCATTTATTTAATAAAAAAAACTATATTTATAATATTGTTGATCATGTTGTTTTCTAATCATATTTCTGATCATGTTGAAAAAGGTTGTGCTGCTTTTTTTGTGGAAATAGCGATACAATTTAAGTATTCTTTGCTGAACAGAAAGAAATCAAGTGCATCAATTATACTGAGATATTTTTTTCCTCTCAACTGTACAATCCCAGAATAAAATAATCGTTGATTACAGTGTGCATGCAGGTTTGGAGTATCTTCAACAAGTCAGGAGTTGTCTCATATTAGTGTCAGCTTGTTGCTGATTTAAAATAACTAAGGAGACACTTGAGTCTAATAATGTTAGCTTGGCTTTAAAGGGAATGTTCAGTGTCACAGAAAATTGTGCTGAATCAATTTAGTTTTTCACAGCCATAGCATGTCAGCCCTCATGAGTGCTAAGCTCCCTCACTCTAACCAGACCCATAAGCATGCAGTGATGCAACAGCTCTGAAACTAAAACATCTCTTTAAACCAAACCCTTAACAGTGCTTAGTGCTTCTGAGACAGGACGCCTCCTTCTCTTCATTTAAACCAAGTGAAGAGATGAAAGTCAAACATGACGCACACAAAAGAGAGATAAAGATAGCACTTGAATCTAATGAAGGGTGTTTCACTTCCAGAAAAAAGCTGAGAGACACAGCAAAGGAAGTACAAATTTAGTTTGATCCAAACTATAAAGGCCAGAGGCTGTCCGAGACCATGTAATACTCATATACATTTAAATTGAAATCGAAATGACCCTAAGAGAGAGAATACTTACAGATATTAATATTAAACACTCTTGGTTACTTTACTTTTAGCATAATTAATTACTGAATTAAAATGGTTTCTGATTAAATGACAAAAATCCAGTCGGGTGTCTGTGTGCAGGGGTTTGACAGTGTGGGCGGGACTTACTGCATGACCAATCAGAGCGTGAGCCATCTCATGTCCCAGTATAAAGACCAGCTGATGAACGTCTGCTACAGCCTGCAGCATTCCCGTGAAGACGAAGATCTCTCCATTCTGAAACACATGCACACACACAATCATTCCAGCTGTGAAATCAGAGAAATTTTCTCCTCTAGTAATCAAGATTTCCTTTAATCATGTGCAGTGAATTAAAAGGTTAGTTGACGCAAAAATTTAATTTTCGTTTCGTATTTAGGGACCCTCATTATGTTACTGTGTTAGTGTGGGGCTATTTTGAGCCTTGTTAGTGGTATTAACTAGCGATTTCTTTTTACTTATTAAATGCCCCTATTACTAGCGTTATATGCTAAACAGTTTTTAGAGATAAAACTCTTTAGGTTCGATTATCATGAAAACAAATCTCAGAGAACCGGCCGACTAGGTACCGATGTTTTATTAGACCAAAGGTTCATTTTGCTCCGGCGTTCTCCTTTAACCAAACATAAAAGTTTTAGTTTATATAAATGTGTATATATATATATATATACACATGTGTGTGTGTATATGACAGATGTTTTTCTGTGCAGTCAGAGTTGCTTTTAAAAATAGGCAGAACAAAAAGTGAAAAAAAATTAATAAATTATAAAAAACAAACAAAAAAACAATGACCCCTTTAAATTGAATGGAGGTGATTTATTTATTAGACAAACAATTTGGTTATTATGTTATCAGATTTGACTCACTGGCAAAACAAATGCGTTGATGGGTGGGCCGTCAACCACATGGACGGTCCAGGGGACAGCGGACATCCCAGTAATATCCTTGTTCCTCTTTACCAGAGTCTGAACCAGTAGCTCCACCGCCTGGTGCCTGGGGTCCGATGGAGCAATCAGAGAATCCTTAAACTCCTCCATATACTGAGAGACAGAATTAAGGAGAAAGAGGAGAAGTTTAATTTTCATAATATCCCATAGCATAATAAAATCAAACATTTTTGGACCAACTCCAAGCATTTGCAAACACTATCATAAGACTTACATATTGCTCTGGAAGTATTATCGTTGATGGTAAATTCATAGTAAATGCATTGAGTACAAAACGTAAACTGACTACACAAGTTGTTCTGACTTGAGCAGGCGTACCGCTTCCGCAGTGGACTGAGCCAGTTCCATGAAGGCCTCCTTGCTGAACAACAGCAGTCGGGTCCTGCCTGTAATAGGAGATTCATCCAGGTGGGTGAGAAAAAGGAGAGAGATGAAGAACAGCAGTCCCGACACAGCTCCCAACAAGTGCCAGCGTCGACGCCATGTCCATTCACGAAACAGCTGCTTTTTATTGTCGGGCAGGGCCATCCACCATTTTCTGATGCTCCTAGAGCCCGAGAGAGACGCACGAAATCTGAATCAGAGTTCTTATTAAATATTATCTTACCTCACTGAAAACCAAGAACTTTGGTGTCAATGACCGGCTATACATTCCCCATTTACTAACCACAATAAAGACAAGTATAAATGGTGACTTTAGGTGGATGTTATGCAGGTTTTTGTAAGTTTTTCAAATGTGCATTTGATGTTCACAACTACTTAAAAGATTGTTTTAAATAAATGAATACTTTTATTCAGCAAGGATAAAAAGTGACAGTAAAGAGTTTTACATTGTTATAAAAGATTTGTATTTCTCACAAATGCATTTATTTGAAACTCTACTCATCAAAGAATCCTGAAAATAAAATGTATCATTGTGGTTTCCACAAAAATGTCAAGCAGCACAACTGTTTTCAACATTGATAATATTAATAAATGTTTCTTGAGCATCAAATCATCATATTAGATTGATTTCTGAAGGATAATGTGACACTGAAGACTGGAGTAATGATGCTGAAAATTCAGCTTTGATCACTGGAATAAAAGAAATTTTAAATAATATTAAAATAGAAAACAGTTTTAAACAATATTACTGTTTTTACTGCATTTAAAGGACTTGCATTTGATTTGGAGTGTAAACGCTTCAGTACTATACAATATAATGCATTATATAGCTAATTTAGTGTGTTAGTTAAAAAATGGAAATTGTAGATACATAAATTAATATATATACATAAAAAAAATATCCATCCACACAGAATACATTTAGATGTAGTTATTTTCCAAAATTGGATGGATTAATTACAAATATGTAAGTACTTGTCATAATATCAGTTATTGCCCAACATTTTAAAATAATAATAATATAAACACAGTACAAATGTATAACTTTGGCCATCCCATCAGTTATAATATCATAACTCTCTCACACACACACACACACACACACACACACACACACACACACACACACACACACAGGAATTCACATTAAAATCTAGTATAGGGGTCTTGTATAACTTGGCCATGTTTGTATTTCTCTCACACAAACAAACACACAAAAAATGCAAACAGAAAATGGTGAAAGTATAACACCATTTTTCTAAATTAAAATTTTCAAATAAATACATATACATATATATATATATATATATATATATATATATTATCATAATGAACAGTTAATTTGCTATAAAGTCATCTATTGGCAAGAGTCATGAAATATCATAAATATTTTTTTTTTCCCACAAGATGACGGCAGAGACACCCAATGTGAGATATGTTGAGCTAATTTAACAGGGTTATGCATTTTGTATTTAAGTTGAAAGAATGAGGAATGTGCTTAAATAAGATTATATATATATATATATATATATATATAAAGAGTTCAGATGCAAAAGCCTCTAAGTGCCATTTGAAATTTTCTTCTAGAATGATCATTTTTATCAAGCTTGTATATTTAAGTTCAGTGATTTCACTTAAATGGCAATGATAATTACCTATTAGTTGTTATTTAAGTGAAATTACTGAACTTAAATATACAAGTTTGATAAAAATCATCATTAAAGAAGAAAATTTCAAATGGCATTTAGAGGCTTTTGCATCTGAACTCTTCATATATATATATTAGTATAAGCTTTCTGGACAAAAATGATTCAGGTTTAGGTTTTCTAAAACCTAAAGGACTCCTCTTTTATTTTGATTTTAAAAAGGGTAAGTAAGGGAGGATTGGTGAGAGTCCCACTTACCGGCCCAGTATGATGGCGATGATCTTCTGCATGGGCTTCAGTACCAGCCATACCAGGGGTGCAGGTACAGCTCTCAGTCTGCCTGAACTGTGAAACTCACGAGTCGACTGGACGATAACTCGAAGAACTGGAGGTCTGAACGTTGTTACACTGCTGTTCAGTCTCAATCTTGACCTCAGACAGAGACACGAAGGAGAAACAGTGACAGATCCTCTTGCTTTCAGATAGGAAGAAAAGTTTGTCCTCATCAGATAAATCCGAGCAGAGGCAAAGAGTGATGGACGGCAATGAAAGTGTCTCTGTCCACAACATCTTATCACTGAGTGTAACCGGAGCAGGTTTATGGACAACATGTCGACGTGCTTGACAAGGCGAATATCTGCTCCAATATTATTATAAAATCAACTGAACACTCATCTTTTGTTAATTATTATACGGGTCAAATGAGAGAGAGTTTATGAGCTCATAATGCATGTTAAATTCACAAAAGTATTTTCAATGACACTGTCTAGGAAGCAGAAAAGTCCAGTAAAGTCCACATGGCGCGTTGTTTGAGCGGTATTAAACTAAGCAGACCACTAAAACGTTGCAAGATATGTATTGCTACACCTGCTTAATCATACGCATTAATTATTTAAAACGATTATCTGTTTTAAAAGCCCTCTAAACTCTTTTCATCCTCGCACTTGTACTTCAGAGTCTGATTGCGACAGTTAAAACACTCCCCCGCAAACATCAACACTTCCCAAGGTTCCGCCCGTCTGTCACAGGTCACAGTAACTAACATAATGTAATTAATTCTTCCATTCCATCGTCTTCTGGTGGCTAAATAAAGAATAAATAAACATCTTGATCTATATTTGGTTTCGTTTTAGAATTCTATTTCAGTAGCACTTTTGTGTCCGACTCTGTTCAGATATTTACAAGATAGGGTCACAACGTCTCGTACCAATACCAAAAACGATGTATTATACAGCAGTTTTTATATAATGTATAAGATTCCACATGTTAATATTAGTTTACTACATTAGTAAACAAACTAAATGCTGTAAAAATGCGTTTACAGCATTTACTACTCTAACATTATTAAAATCAAAAAATTATTTTATGAAATACTGAAATGAACCAGAAAAATTGGCCTTTTGACAGTCAAAACGTTCTTTAAAATTGTGACTCCATGCCTATCCAACTAATCTCTTTTTCATAATAAAATTTTATTTAAGTGCTGCAAACACTTTCTTGCACATTGTGATCAAACAGAATTACAAAATTCCATCAAACTTTAATTAAAAATGTTAAATACAGCTGTGTGGTTAAACTCATTTTTATGAAAACTAAATAACACTTTATAGTACAAAAATCTACAAGAATGCAATGTTACATACGATGTATGTGAATGACACTTTTGTCCTCTGCAGTAGCAGGTTTCTCTCTGGTAACTTCTTCCATTCACACTCTTAGGTTTATAGTTATTTACACAGTTTCTGTCCTTCTTCATTACAGCTTTTTACATGGTTGACAGGTCCTGTAGTGTACAATTCATCTTGGCTGTCAGAATCAGTAACACACGTCTCATCCGTAGCAAGGCTGCTGTTGACTGGCTCAGAGGAGATGAATGACAGTAACTGAGGCTGTGTTATTACTTCATGAAGATGAGAGGAGGAAGAGCCAGGCTCAGGGAGAAAATGTGAATGAAACAAGGTTTCTATCTGTACAAGGAACATCTCCATGTCAACCTCTGAGACCTGCTCCAAAGTCTTCCGGATTGATCTCAGCATCTGTGGACGGACAAAAATATTATTCTATTTAGCAAAACTCATTCAAGTGGCATGTCAAATAAATTCATTTAAATATGCACTGTGAAGTGTGAACATTTAGTATTAAATGTTTGCCGAAATCTTGTTTGCTTGCTACTAAGTACCTCAAACCAAACTCTGAAAATCTTTGAAATGATGATGTCATCTCTAGTGTACTCAGAATTGCTTCTGACAGCAGCGAGGAAACTTGCTATATCTTGACTACTGACAACAAGGTCATATTTACAAGTTTGTCCAAAAATCCCTTGCAATTTTCATGTGTAATATGCACTCATAGATATGAGATAGATATGAGACATATTACCTTTTCCAGGCAAGTCAGAGAAGAATCTCTGCGGAAAAGCCTGCCCATTGGTACACTCCTGAAAGAAGAATGAGATGTATATATATAAATATATTGTAGGGCTGTCAAACGATTAATCGCATCCAAAATAAAAGTTTGTTTTTACATAATATATGTGGGTGCACTGTGTATTATTATTTTGTGTATATATATATATATATATATATATATATATATACACACACACATGCATGTAAATTTAAGAAAAAAAATATTATTTATATATAAAATATTTATATTTATATATATATATATCTATATAAAGTATATGCATGAAAATATTTCTTAAATATGCATGTGTGTGTATATATATTATATATATATATATATATATATATATATATATATATATATATATATATATATAAATAATTATACACAGTGCACCCTACATATATTATGTAAACACAAACTTTTATTTTGGATGCGATTAATCATTTGACAGCCCTCATATATTTATTAATATTTTTTAAATTAAGTATTAATAAAAGAAAAAGCATGTATATATTTTTTATTTATCCCAAAATTGTAGCAAGCTTTGCTAATGCTGGAAATAATGCCAAATACTACTAATACTATTACACAATGCTGGAAACATACTAATACATACATTAAAATACTTTGAATATTAAACATTTTTTGAAGCTAGTTTATAAAATGTGAATAATATGCAGCATTTAATTTTATTTTATTTTATAACTTTATATTCATATTTTCATGTATTCATGTATGGTTTCCCTCATAAAACACGCAGCTCACCCATGACACAGCCTGTACTTAAACACAACCCATTCTGCTCTTCTCATCACTTCCGACCAATCAGGAAGCTCAGAAGAGTACTGGATGTTAAACCGGTATGGAAACCCTAAAATACAAACAACACGATCACTCGTACACAAGAAATGCTGACTGACACACCACAGACTGATTCAAATTCAGCTTGAGCTGTTCCTGGGCTTGTTTTATTATTTACACCATGGTTACTTTATTCTTTAACAGCAGCTATGACTCTAGTGCTACCCACAAAGACCATGAAACATTTACAGAACACTGATTACCTACAGTAATATATTAAGTATTAAAGCTGCTGTGAATGATTTGTAAGTGAATGCGCTGAGACATACTCAGAGATCCAGAGGGTCCGCTCTCCTCCTCTACCAGCAGACAGGTGGTCTGAGAAAGGGGCGAGGGGTTACTGGGGTTATACGGGCTGACAATCACCCCGATAAATGGAGCACCTCCTCGAGAGAAATAACTCTGAAATAAAAACAGACAGCGAGAATGTGACATGTAAACAAAGACACCATCCTAGTAATGCTACACTGCAATATATAGATCTGTTACCTGGTATTTAGCCTGAGTGTCAATGTCTCTGAGGGAGGGGTTGGGGTCGAAGGCTGGATGAGAGTGGTACCAACCAACCACACTGTGACCTTTGACCCCGAGCAGCTCAGAGGCCTGAGTCTGAGAGACGGGGTCCATCTCACACTGCAGACCTGTGCTCAGGCTGTTACATGGTTCTGCTGCACAGATCTATACCAACATCATGCATTTATTACAACATACTTAAACTTAAGATGAATCAAGATGAGTCGCTCTGGATAAAAGAATCTGCTAAATGAATAAATGTGACTTATTGAAATAAACAGTTGATTATGAGTCCATGAATTGACTGACCTTTAACACCTTCTCTTCTTCTTCATATGTTCCTCCTAGAAGGCCAATAACCTCTCCCATTGACACATGAGCATGCTGGGTAAGGATTTGATTATTAGTGCCACATAATACAACACTGAGGAATGAATAAGAGAGCAAAAAAGAAAAAAGGCTGAGATAGAAACCAACTTACTATGTCCATGACAACAAGAGCCTCGGCACAAACGATCACTCTGAAAGGTTCCTGAGTCAGGAAGACACAATAGACAAAATATGTTCCTTCATTTCTATACAACAAAAGGAACTACAGTCTTATTTGACCATCACTGAGATCCTATCATAGTTTTTATTAATATTTTGAATGAGTTTTCGTTTTCATTTTAAATTTAAATTAAATGTTATTAATACATTTTCTTTTATTTCAGTTTTAATTTGAGTTATTTTAGTACATCAGGTAAAACTAAAAGAAAATTTAAATGTTTCCTTGGAAAATAAAAGAAATAAAATAAGTTAAAAAAAATAAAAATGTGTTTTATTTCAGTTAACATTACTTTCCTTTTTTATGAGTTTTAGTTTACTATAATAACCCTGGTTTTTATGCATGGAAAGACAGAACAGAGATATGATGAAATGTAATGATTACCTGTTTTTCCTCTCCAAAAGCTTTGCAGGGAATGAGCTGGAATGGATCAAAAGAGCTGTAGAGGACAAAGACAAGGAATAAATCCAGATGTGATGTTCACTCTTTATCGGATTATTCATGGAGTTGATAACAAAAGCCCATGAACAAAATCACTATACAAACTATTAGCTATTCAGTTTTGTAAGGGAGCGTGTGTTTACCCTCTTTGTTTGGGTAGTTTAGATGGTTTTGGTCCTTTCTTCTTCATCTCCTCTCTTCTGATGGCCAGCTCCTCTGCGCTCAGATGCTGGATGACAACAAAAAAACATACGAAGAGTTCAGATGCAAAAGCCTCTAAGTGCCATTTGAAATTTTCTTCTAGAATGATCATTTTTGTCAAGCTTGTATATTTAAGTTCAGTGATTTCACTTAAATGGCAATGATAATTACCTATTAATTGTTATTTAAGTGAAATTACTGAACTTAAATATACAAGTTTGATAAAAATCATCATTAAAGAAGAAAATTTCAAATGGCATTTAGAGGCTTTTGCATCTGAACTCTTCATACATAATCAGGGTGCAATAATGAGGATGGACAAATATAAAATTATTTCTTTTCAAAAAACATCATAAAAATAAGTAAATAAATAAATACCAAAAAAGTAGCTAAAATATATTAAATGTAATTGTTTTTTTTTTTTTTAAAACAATGTTTTATAAGCCACTTTCACCTTCAAATGGTCTTCGTTTCCTGTTTACACTTCTGGGCTTCGGGGTCTATACGACCCCAACAATTGATTGAGTAAGTGTACAAAAAAATATACATTTTTAATAATACAAATAATATATCATTTTTTTATCATTTTTTTTTTGTTTACTTCTCATCTATTCATTAATATTGTGTTTTTGGAGAGATAAAGAACTTTTGTATCCATATCACACAATTCCTCAACTACACCATTAGCTTGCATATGAAATATTTTTTTTTTTTATGATACATTGCATTTATGGCTTCATTTCTGTGTAAAAATTTTCAGATGTATCGGGGATTTTTTTTGACACATGAAGAAAATATATTTAGTTTTTTTTTTCACATTTCCCATTCATTTCAATGTGGGGTCAATATTGACCCCGAAAACCAGAAGTGTAAAAGTTTTTTTTTTTTTTAAATACCTTCAGAACAACCGAATCAAGCCCAGTTTTGTGTGTGTGTGTGTGTAAATAGATAATGTGTGAAAAATCACAAAATCTTATTCCACTGAGATGAAGGGAACCTTTTTTTTATTAAGTAAAATAAAAATTGCGATTGCGGTCGTATAAACCACATGACCCGATTGAGGGCTACACAACATATAAAACAATAACCTTTGTCAATGTCAATCTTAAAAATAGATCCTGATCATATCAGGCCATAAACAGAATCTTGGAGCAATTCTCTATTGAGTATATTTCAAATCTAAGACGAACTGCAGATTTTGATTTTTTTTTACCTCATACGTCTGACCCTCCAAATCTTTGGCATCACGCCAATTCCCCCACACGTCCCGAATGCGACGCTTTCTTGTGCGCTGCAAAAAATAAATAAATAAAATGTTTTTTTATATATATATATATATATATATATATATATATATAAAACACACCAAAATATATTAGAGCAGAGGTTCTTAACTCTACAGTAAAGTGGATCGAGTGCCAGAGTTCAGAACCCCTTTATTAGAAGGATAATGCAGGGATAATGATGATAACAGTAAGACTGTAACTCGCTCTCACCATAGACTGCAGTCTTTGGGCAAGCTGATACGCCTCCATACTGTCTTTGCTTTCCTTTAGCCGAGAGCGGTCAACCAGCCGCGGACGGTTATATATCGCCTGATCTACAGAGGAAGAAAGAAAGAGTTTAGGGAGGGAAAATGTACTCAAATGTACGCAAACTGACTGAGCAATAAGCATTACCGCAGTTGAAGTTAATAGCTCCTATGAGCTCCAGATAAGTGTGTATCCGACCGATGCAGTTGACATCCCCACAATTCTTCAAGCCTGGACGCACTGATGTCTTGTTCAGGTACTTGGGTTTACTTCTCTCCCTGTACATACATCAGAGAAGTTCATTTTACAGACTGGAGTAATTATGCTGAAAATTAATCTTTGCATCACAGGAATAAACTACATTTTAGAAATAATGAAATTTACTAAATATACTATAGAGAGGACCTATTATGCCATATTTCTTGAGTTTGTTTTGGAGTCTACTAGAATAGTTTTGATGCTTGAATGTTGAAAAAACACATTATGTTTCACATATTTGACATTCTTGCAGCACCTCTCTTCACAGTCTGTCAGTAACGCCAGAGAATGTCTAATAAGGGGAGAACTCCCACTCACAGTAAACTTTCGGGTTCTGAACTGGTTGCAGTTCCACTCTGGAACCATATGAGGGCGCTCACAGGACGAGTGCAGAACGAATGGAGGTCTATGGAGAACCTAAACCCCACCAAAATCCACTTTTCTCAGGATATAATTTTTTGTCTAGTAATTTGAATGTTGTATTTGAAACAAGATGTAGAGAAATGACCCATTTTTTTAGTGTCACTTATTTGCTTTAAAAAAGTAAAAAAAAGTCACATTGGTGCTTTTGCGCGCTGCACTTTATTTTCTCTCGAGACAACTGACACAGGTAAATACACGTGCTAGAAGAGTTTTGGAAAACTAAAATTCTTAACATTCTGGTCCCGCTTCGGATGCTACGATGCCATCAAGCGGTATCTCTGGTCGTAATCAGTACTTCATTGACCAATCAGCGTCCATTAGCAGAATGGTAGTGTAGTGTGTAATGGGCAACAACAACTCAACCTGTAGGAAATCGAAAGGACATAAGTACTCGTTCCTTCAACTATTGACCTATAATCCATGTTGAACTTGCAAAACCTACAACCACATCTGAGATTTCTCAACAGCAAAGAGACAAATTTAGCCATCTAGCTCCATAGACTCCCATTCATTTGGCACTCATGGGCGACCACCCCCAGTGGAACTCTGGTGGAACTACAACCAAAATTTGGTACAATAGGACTTAATAGAGAGTGGCCAGGCTCTCCGTAGACGTGCTCTGGAGCTAATAATTCAACTCAACCAAGCCTCACCCCTTTATTTAGCGTATGTGGGAATTATTTAAATGAGGAATATTGTTTGTTTCCAGAAGAAAACTCAAGACTACAATGGAGGCATTTCAGGGAGTTCAGAAAAAGTCCTTTACTGACATCAAGAACGACTCCCTTTCGAGTGACTATGTGATTTGTAACTTTGCAAACCTTTTCATGCTCAAACAGCAACATTACACACTAAAGAAAGTTGAACATTTTAAGATGTCCTCTTTAAAATAACTTGTATTTTTTTAATTGTAATAGTATTTCAAACAAACAAATGCAGCCTTGGTAAGCATAAGATACTTATTTAAAGCATTTTAAAAAAATCTTACCAACCCCATTTTTTTTGTAATAAAAAAAAAACAACCGGTTCCCTGAAATATGTGACATTTTTACAGTTTCATTGTCTTACAAAAACTCTGTCAGGACAGACGATGTACACAAGAAAAAGTTCCTCAGAATCATACAGAATAAAGTCTCACCACTGGTCCAGGATGAAATTGCGAATTTTTAGATATCTCTCCGGTGTTTTTGATGGACGCCCCTCAAAGAATTCTGGGATGGCTTGCCGCTCCTCTTCTGTGATTGTGTTTAAGTCCAATATAACCTCCTGTTCAGGAGCTCTCAGCTCCTCTTCCTCCTCCTCCTGGTCTTCCTCCACCTCCTCCTCAGGACCTGATTCAATCTTATCTGGAGTAAAAGAATACATTCCCCATAATTGTGCTAATGCTGATGGATTGCTATGGTTACAGAGATTAAATGAAAGCTAGTCATGCCAAAGTACCTTTTCCTTCAGTGCTCTCCTCCCCAGACAGGCTGTGTTTGCCTGAGATGAAGGCCCCACTTGCCTCCTCCGGATCTGGATCAATAGCAATTTGAGGGATGTTAGCGTTTCCATCTGAATCAGTGTCTCCTTCTGCAGCGTTGGATCCTGATTCAGAGAGAGGGTTTAAAAGTACGTCTGATGGGGGTGTCATTGGACTGGGTTCTCCTTGATGGTCACAATCTAAGGAGCCTGAGGACTCTGGCTTCAATTCAGACTGAAACCAATCATCACTGAAGTCATCGGTGATGTCAACGTCCTCATCGTCAGAAAGTCGCTCGATGCGTACAGCATTGGTCAGGGCTGAGACGTGAGGCTGGATCGAGGGGACCAACGTGGTGTCTGAAGTCACATTAGAGGAGGGCACGTCGACAGGTTTGTCTGTTTTAGGCTGGAGGTGAAACACAAAGGATAAAATCACTACTAGTACCACTGATAAAAAAGAAAATCGTTTGCCTCATTTTATTTAATCATATTGTAAAACAGATTAAGAATGAATGTGAAGTATGAACATGTTTTACATTTGATAAGGCTTGTTGAAAAACAGGAAATGGTTTGCTATGCTACCCTTCAAATGTTTGGTCAGTAAGGGCCCTTTCACACCTACCCTGTTTGGTCTGGACTTTCGGACTTTTCAGTTTGGTCCGAATCAAAATTATAGGTGTGAAACCTCCCCAGGACCACGGTCCGGACCAAACGGTCCGGCGAAAAGAGGTAGTCTTGGTCCGGATCAAACTGAAAAAAGGTTTTGTTTCGTTTATAGTGTGAAAGCATTTATGTATGGTTCGGAATTTCAGACCTTTTACAGGAAGTTTCCCAAAAAGCCGAAAAAAAAAAAAAAACAGAAGGTGGCAGGAGAAATGAGCTGTGTTGCACATGCGGAGATGAGGAGACAAGGTTTTTAATTAAAGTACGGTCTGATGACATAAGAAGTCAACTTGCAGTCTTCTCCTCCTTTCCTGCCGGCGACGATAAAATGTTCGCATGACGAGGACATTCATTTGGCAAATCTGACCTAGCCTTGTGTATAGTTGGTGCTGCAGGTAATTGTGCCATAAAAATAACAATATAGTTGCAACGATATGCGTCTGTTCGTTTACGTTGTCAAAGTTACCCGCCGAATTGACAGCACGCTGACGTCAGACTCACGTCCATTTACAAACCAATCAATGTCAAGGTGCAGCCCACATAGATCATGACGACAGGACGTAAGTATGTCACGTAAAGTTTTATAGTGCGCTTGCATTATTTCAGTGTGAAACCAAACCAAAACTTTCTGAAAGTATAAAATGTATCAAAACATGAACTTTCAGGTGTGAAAACGCCCTAAGAAATGAATGTTTTTTAAGCAAAAAAAAAAATATCATGTTGGTTGTCTTTATTTATAGGATTAATATATATGAATTCGTTCAATTAGCCTTAAACCCATCTGAACCAAAGACATATGGCTAAAGTCATAATGTGGAATTAAGCATACCTTATTTTTGAAGTACTGTCTAGCATAGCTCTTCACCTGTAGAACCGTTCTAGTGCCGATCAGTTTGGCGATTTTGGTCCATCTCTGGCCAAATTGAGCCTAGAAACGATAAAAAACGATACAATTCATTTCCTTTTATAAGAGAGCATGCTGTATATTATTACAGCATATATGTTCAGAAAACGTACCAGTCCTTTCTCAAAGAGATCTTTCTCCTCTTCAGCCCAACGAGTTTGTGCTCCAGAACTTTTCACCAATGACCTACAAAGACATTCTGAATGAATGAATATATATAGCTTAAGGGACTTCTTGCAAAAAACATTAAATGAAGTCCCTAATGCTCATCAAGCCTGCAAAAATTATGTAATATGAAAAAATATTATGTAAGCAATAAGGTACTCGAGGCAAGTGCTGTATCGTGAATAAGTAACGGCTGAAGTGACTCCGCTTCTCGTTGTGAGTAACAACGCAATATATTAATTTTAATTTACTTTAAAATATTTATAATTTATAATTTATTTCTGTGATTTTCAGCATCATTGTAAACAATGTAATATGTAAAACAATGTAATATGCTGACAGTTGTGCTGCTTAATATTTTTCTATAACCTGTGATACTTTTTACGGATTTTTCACTGAATATAAAGTAAATAAAAAATTTTAAAACGCATTTATTTAAAATATAAATATTTTGTAACTGAAATTACTCTAATATGGAGCCTCTGATGAATAAAAGATTTAAAAGAGCAACATTTATTTGGAATTGAAATATTTTTTAACAACTTAAATGTCTTTAAATTGAATGCATCCTTGATGAATAAAAGTCTTTCAGACCCCAAACCTTTGAATGGTAGTGTGGGTGTTTACATATTCATGAAACATGAAAGAGGGGAGCTCACCTTTTGACTTTGGTCTTCTCATTGGTCCATGCTACCTTTGGTGCTTTCTTACTGGCAAAATAATACCTTTCTTAATTAAGAAAACAACCACACGCTTTTAATGAATGATGACAACCAAACATGAAGAAAATGAGGATGAATCGTTGTGATGTTCAGAAGGATACTGTTCCTCCAGCAACATGCTCTCAATGGCCTCTCTGTTCTCATCGCTGATGGAACTGTCCAGCGTCCACGGCTGAACACACACAAAAACAACAACACATCATTTCCATTCTCAGATTCCATTCATATAGGCCCTGTTTACACCAGGTATTAAGATTGATCGGATCACAAATAGACATGAGAGACACAATCCTTTTTACACCTGGTGTTGTAATCCGTCTCTTTTGTCCACTTTGCAACAGTAAATGTATGTGATTTTTTCAGATCTTTCGATCTAATGAACGAAACAAGCTTGAGCAATTTACTATGGACGCGCCCGGAGACGACGGAAAAACATACAGAGCATCAGCTTTAGTTTCTGCTCTGACAGCCGCACGACCAAACGAACACTGTGAGTGTGTGTTAGAAATCTGAAATGGAGAGAGAATACTGAGCTTAGTGCGTTTACATCTTTAAACCAAACTTGGGTCTTCAGCCGACAAAGTTTAAATCCCATCTGGCTAGTGCGCTTCCTATAACTCCGTTTACTCATAAGCAAGGTAGGCGGACTCTTGTGGTTGTTCCAACACATTCGACCACATGAGAACTTAAACCACAGCAATGCGGTCAAATGTGTTTTCGACTACCTCTGGAAGTGGTCAGAATCTGACAAGCTCGAACCATTTTAGACCCGTTTACACCCATATTTAGAGTCATCCACTTGTGATCGGATTGACGAAAACACTTCTACCAGGTGTAAATAGGGCCATAAGGTTTTCAATTTGGGGTTACTTTACCAGTACACTGCTGTTCGTCTTCCATGCAGACTGCAAGTATTGATCCTGGAGAACCTCAGCACTGCTTAGGTCACTGTAAAGAGAACATACAAATAATAAAAGATGCGGTTAAGAATGAGTAAACAGTCATTATTTCAAAGAACAAACAAGAACACGGTTCTTTAATGATCTCTTCACAAGGGAGAAAAGTGGAACGCTGAAAGTAACAAAGAAATATCTGGAGGGTCACTTGAAGACGATACACTCTGACCCAAGACGGCACAAACAAATCTCAGTTCCACCAGACCAGACATCCCACCAATCAATTCTCCAAAATATCAAATGGATATTCCCCCTCCAGCTTGGAAAGAGGTGGAAAGCTTAGTCTATCACACAAGATCAACATCAACCTCAGGGCCAAATGGAGTCTGGAGGTGTTCCTGGGACACCAGGTATCATCATTGAGCCACCTGAATGTCGTGGGCTCATCAACGGAGTGGGGGTTCAATCTTCAACTGGCTGGCAGGAGCTGCCACTGGGAGGTCACGTGACCTGCCAGTGGCTGGCTGGCAGCTGCCAGTGGTTGTCTGTCTATCTGCCTCAGTAGGGGTTCAATCTTCAACTGGCTGGCAGGAGCTGCCACTGATGCCGTGTCGTGTACTGCCAGTCGGATCACGGCCATTTGACTATTAAATTGCGATCCTACTACTAATAACAATAATTTCAACAGATACATAATAAATGAGCTATAAAGGGAGGAAAACAAAACACAAATACTGTCAAAAATCAATGGTTTCTGAAACTTGCCAAAGGCAGACTGACAGACAACCACTGGCAGCTGCAAGTCTGACACTCACAGGCAGGCACATTTGACTGGTTTAATCGGGATAAACGGCCCCAAGAATACCAATCATACACAAGAATAAAGGCATGACATTATATTCATAATAAGAAATTTTTTATTTCCTTTCAGCGAGAGTGTCAGGCAACGCGTTGTATTCGCTGATCACCCGCGGCTGGCTGGATGAGCGTCCAGCAAGCGTCTGCAAGCTGCCAGTCGGATCACGGCCATTTGACTGGTTTAATCGGGACAACAGTACCCAAAACACCAATCATACACAAGAATAAAGGCATGACATTATATTCATAATAAGAAAACAATTTATTTCCTTTTAGCGAGAGTGTCAGGCAACGCTTTATATTCGCTGATCACCCGCGGCTGAGCGTCTGTACTGCCAGTCGGATCACGGCCATTTGACTATTAAATTGCGATCCTACTACTAATAACAATAATTTCAACAGATACATAATAAATGAGCTATAAAGGTCACGTGACCTGCCACTGGCAGCTGCCAGCAGTAGGGGTTCAATCTTCAACTGGCTGGCAGGAGCTGCCACTGGTAGCCGCCATTGGTATCCTACTACTAATAACAATAATTTCAACAGATACATAATAAATGAGCTAGAAAGGGAGGAACACAAAACACAAAACTGTCAAAAATCAATGGTTTCTGAAACTTGCCAAAGGCAGACTGACAGACAACCACTGGCAGCGACTGGTGACCTGCCAGTGGCAGCTCCTGTGACCTGCCAGTGGCAGCTAATGATGACCTGCCAGTGGACCTGCCACTGGCAGCTCCTGTGACCTGCCACTGGCAGCTGCCAGCAGTAGGGGTTCAATCTTCAACTGGCTGGCAGGAGCTGCCACTGATGCCGTGTCGTGTACTGCCAGTCGGATCACGGCCATTTGACTATTAAATTGCGATCCTACTACTAATAACAATAATTTCAACAGATACATAATAAATGAGCTATAAAGGGAGGAAAACAAAACACAAATACTGTCAAAAATCAATGGTTTCTGAAACTTGCCAAAGGCAGACTGACAAACAACCACTGGCAGCTGCAAGTCTGACACTCACAGGCAGGCACATTTGACTGGTTTAATCGGGATAAACGGCCCCAAAAATACCAATCATACACAAGAATAAAGGCATGACATTATATTCATAATAAGAAATTTTTTATTTCCTTTCAGCGAGAGTGTCAGGCAACGTGTTGTATTCGCTGATCACCCGCGGCTGGCTGGATGAGCGTCCAGCAAGCGTCTGCAAGCTGCCAGTCGGATCACGGCCATTTGACTGGTTTAATCGGGACAACAGTACCCAAAACACCAATCATACACAAGAATAAAGGCATGACATTATATTCATAATAAGAAAACAATTTATTTCCTTTTAGCGAGAGTGTCAGGCAACGCTTTATATTCGCTGATCACCCGCCGCTGAGCGTCTGTACTGCCAGTTGGATCACGGCCATTTGACTATTAAATTGCGATCCTACTACTAATAACAATAATTTCAACAGATACATAATAAATGAGCTATAAAGGTCACGTGACCTGCCACTGGCAGCTGCCAGCAGTAGGGGTTCAATCTTCAACTGGCTGGCAGGAGCTGCCACTGGCAGCGACTGGTGACCTGCCAGTGGCAGCTCCTGTGACCTGCCAGTGGACCTGCCACTGGCAGCGACTGGTGACCTGCCAGTGGCTGACTGGCAGCTGCCAGTGACAGCTGCCAGTCAGCCACTGACGGGTCACGTGACCTGCCACTGCAGCGACTGGTGACCTGCCAGTGGACCTGCCACTGGCAGCGACTGGGGACCTGCCAGTGGCAGCTCCTGTGACCTGCCAGTGGCTGACTGGCAGCTGCCAGTGACAGCTGCCAGTCAGCCACTGACGGGTCACGTGACCTGCCACTGGCAGCTGCCAGTGACAGCTGCCAGTCAGCCACCGACAGGTCACGTGACCTGCCACTGGCAGCTGCCAGCAGTAGGGGTTCAATCTTCAACTGGCTGGCAGGAGCTGCCACTGATGCCGTGTCGTGTACTGCCAGTCGGATCACGGCCATTTGACTATTAAATTGCGATCCTACTACTAATAACAATAATTTCAACAGATACATAATAAATGAGCTATAAAGGGAGGAAAACAAAACACAAATACTGTCAAAAATCAATGGTTTCTGAAACTTGCCAAAGGCAGACTGACAGACAACCACTGGCAGCTGCAAGTCTGACACTCACAGGCAGGCACATTTGACTGGTTTAATCGGGATAAACGGCCCCAAGAATACCAATCATACACAAGAATAAAGGCATGACATTATATTCATAATAAGAAATTTTTTATTTCCTTTCAGCGAGAGTGTCAGGCAACGCGTTGTATTCGCTGATCACCCGCGGCTGGCTGGATGAGCGTCCAGCAAGCGTCTGCAAGCTGCCAGTCGGATCACGGCCATTTGACTGGTTTAATCGGGACAACAGTACCCAAAACACCAATCATACACAAGAATAAAGGCATGACATTATATTCATAATAAGAAAACAATTTATTTCCTTTTAGCGAGAGTGTCAGGCAACGCTTTATATTCGCTGATCACCCGCGGCTGAGCGTCTGTACTGCCAGTCGGATCACGGCCATTTGACTATTAAATTGCGATCCTACTACTAATAACAATAATTTCAACAGATACATAATAAATGAGCTATAAAGGTCACGTGACCTGCCACTGGCAGCTGCCAGCAGTAGGGGTTCAATCTTCAACTGGCTGGCAGGAGCTGCCACTGGCAGCCGCCAGTGAGCCACTGGCAGCGACTGGTGACCTGCCAGTGGCAGCTCCTGTGACCTGCCAGTGGACCTGCCACTGGCAGCGACTGGGGACCTGCCAGTGGCAGCTCCTGTGACCTGCCAGTCAGCCACTGACGGGTCACGTGACCTGCCACTGCCAGCGACTGGTGACCTGCCAGTGGACCTGCCAGTGGCAGCTCCTGTGACCTGCCAGTGGCAGCTCCTGTGACCTGCCAGTGGCTGACTGGCAGCTGCCAGTGACAGCTGCCAGTCAGCCACTGACGGGTCACGTGACCTGCCAGTGGACCTGCCACTGGCAGCGACTGGGGACCTGCCAGTGGCAGCTCCTGTGACCTGCCAGTCAGCCACTGACGGGTCACGTGACCTGCCACTGCCAGCGACTGGTGACCTGCCAGTGGACCTGCCAGTGGCAGCTCCTGTGACCTGCCAGTGGCTGACTGGCAGCTGCCAGTGACAGCTGCCAGTCAGCCACTGACGGGTCACGTGACCTGCCACTGGCAGCTGCCAGCAGTAGGGGTTCAATCTTCAACTGGCTGGCAGGAGCTGCCACTGATGCCGTGTCGTGTACTGCCAGTCGGATCACGGCCATTTGACTATTAAATTGCGATCCTACTACTAATAACAATAATTTCAACAGATACATAATAAATGAGCTATAAAGGGAGGAAAACAAAACACAAATACTGTCAAAAATCAATGGTTTCTGAAATTTGCCAAAGGCAGACTGACAGACAACCACTGGCAGCTGCAAGTCTGACACTCACAGGCAGGCACATTTGACTGGTTTAATCGGGATAAACGGCCCCAAAAATACCAATCATACACAAGAATAAAGGCATGACATTATCTTCATAATAAGAAATTTTTTATTTCCTTTCAGCGAGAGTGTCAGGCAACGCGTTGTATTCGCTGATCACCCGCGGCTGGCTGGATGAGCGTCCAGGAAGCGTCTGCAAGCTGCCAGTCGGATCACGGCCATTTGACTGGTTTAATCGGGACAACAGTACCCAAAACACCAATCATACACAAGAATAAAGGCATGACATTATATTCATAATAAGAAAACAATTTATTTCCTTTTAACGAGAGTGTCAGGCAACGCTTTATATTCGCTGATCACCCGCGGCTGAGCGTCTGTACTGCCAGTCGGATCACGGCCATTTGACTATTAAATTGCGATCCTACTACTAATAACAATAATTTCAACAGATACATAATAAATGAGCTATAAAGGTCACGTGACCTGCCACTGGCAGCTGCCAGCAGTAGGGGTTCAATCTTCAACTGGCTGGCAGGAGCTGCCACTGGCAGCCGCCAGTGAGCCACTGGCAGCGACTGGTGACCTGCCAGTGGCAGCTCCTGTGACCTGCCAGTGGCAGCTCCTGTGACCTGCCAGTGGATGACTGGCAGCTGCCAGTGACAGCTGCCAGTCAGCCACTGACGGG